CAAAAACAACATTTTAAATCCCTCAGTGTTTTTGGTAGTATGTTTGTTTTTGTGCCAATACTGGGGCTTAAAGGCAGGGCCTTAATGTTCTTGCTTGGTTTTATCTGCTCAAGGCTGGCGCTCTATCATTTGAGTCTCAGATCCACTTCTGGCTTTTTCCTGGGTTAATTGGAGAAAAGAGTCTCTTGGATTTGTCTTCCTGGGCTGGCTTCAAAACTTGATCCTCAGATCTTTCCCTCCTGAGTACATAGGATTACAAGTATAAGCAACCAGGACCCAGTTTTTCCAGTCCTGGGGCTTGAACTCAGGGCCTGGGCACTGTCCCTAAGCTTCATTGCTCGTGGCTAGCCCTCTACCACTTGAGCCACAGAGCCACTTCTGGCTTTTTTCTGTTTATGTGGTACTGAGAAATCAAACCCAGAGCTTCATGCACTCAGGCCTTAGTAGTATTTTTGAATTAAAAAATAATTATTATATCCATAATGAGAAGTTCTAAAAAGAGAAAAATGAAATGGTCAAATTAAAAATCTTATATCTGAGTTTAGTCATAACTCTTTTGAGATGGAAGTGGGCTATAGCAATCATCTAATAACAAATCCTTACCAGATAGATTAGCATACAGACTGCATTATCAATTATGGTCTTATGCTTACTGACTATGGCTTTGTATTGGCACTTTTGTTTTTAAAGTGGTTAGAACTAAACCTGCTATTACAGGCTTCATGTGCCATCGCTGCAGAAATCAAAGTCTGGTGTCAGTATTACCAGGACTAGTGCATATATCCTTGGATTTCTAATTCTAATTCCTAATTTCCACCTTTTAGTATTGCCCAAGAATTAGGTTTAGAGAATAGTTTCTCCTTCTGTTAACATTGGACTTTTGACTTTTTTTTTTTCTGGTAGTGAGGCTTGAACTCTGGGCCTGGGTGCTGCCACTGAGCTCTTTAGGTCAAGACTAGCACTCTACCACTTGAGCTACAGCACCACTTCTGGTTTTCTGGTAGCTAATTGGAGATAAGAGTCTCACAGACTTTCCTGCTCAGGCTGGCTTTGAACCTCAATCCTCAGATCTCAGCCTCCTGAGTAGCTAGGATTACAGGTATGAGCCACCATTGGACTTTTGTAGCAGCCCAAAGCATTGTTGCTTGTCCTGGACTACCTGATAGCCGCTTAGATCACTGTTTGATAGCAGTGACTAAGAAGACTGGCCTCTGGGTGCTGACTACCTGTATTCACATTTCCCTTCAGCTGAGCAAGTTATTAAACTTCTGTGCCTCTACTTTGCAAGTTGAGTTTGGGTAATAGTAACTACTGCATACAATTGTTAAGTGAGGTAAATTAGTTAATTTATGTTTAATTAATTTAGTATTCTGGGTTATTGGAAATGATCAGTAGCTCTTAGCTATTATTACCATAGAAGACCAAATAGTTTGAGACACTTTTAATCAATCAGGATTTTTTTTTTTCTATTGGCAAGGAGAACGTTCACTGATTTCTTAATAAAGATAAGTTGGGAGGTAAAAATATCAATGGGAACTGGAAGGTTGGGATATAAGGCATTTCCAGTAAGAAAAAATTGTGTGTCATTATTCTGTGATGGGAAGTCACCTGGCTTGTCCCCGGCACAGGAAGTGATTCAATTTAGCTGCGTTGTCAGGTATCAGATGTTCCTTCTGAAGAAGCAGGAAATTTCAAAAGAAATGGAGACATGGATGGTTTCAGAGACCTGAGGTTTCAGGCCAGTGAATTTGGACTGTGTGCAGGGAGGAAGGAATGGAGGCTGTTATGATTAAGGAAGGGAGACTGTTAGAGGAAAGAGGTTAAAGACTGGAGTTGGTGGTGGCAGGAGGGTGATCTCAAGCTTAGGTAAGCATAAACTCCATCCACAGAATAGGGAACTCTAGAGAAGAATGAGTCTGGCATAGAAAGATGTTGATATTAGCTTGCAGTATAGATAAGACAGCCCAGGAAGTCTATGTTCATGGTAGAAATAAAACACTGGAACTCAAACAAAGAATTCAGTATTGGAGGTAAAACTGGGGAGTCATTTCCAGGTGTGTGATGAGTTAGTGATGTAAAATAGTCAGTTCTTTGAATTGGGGCTTTAAATCTAAAAGAGACCCTGCATTCTTTTGGATAGTGACAGCTAAGGCAAGTGTCATAAAATGCTGGGTGTAGAAATTCAGTTCAATTGATGTGTGTGAGTCACCAGGTAAGTTGCTCAGAGCTGCCTTCATTTCCTCCAGTACCGTCTGGTCTTTCAGCTTGCCAATGCACCAGAGGAAACTGCCTATTTCTTTTTTGCCTTCCACGCACTGATGAACAGAGACTCTCATGCATACATCTGGGGCTTGAACTTAGGGCCTCCTGCTAGTGACTCTCCTTTAATCTTGCATAGAAAATTAGGTTCAAATTATGAAATCTAAAAACTGCATTATAAAAAATATTTTATAAGACAGGGACTTCAAAGGCATAACTTTAAATTTCCAAAAATTTCAAGACCGAAATGTTTTATAACCCTTCATTTTGTGTGTGGTTTTCAATGGGTATAAAAATACTCCATGGGTATGTGGGTGGTTTCTCGTGTTTTGGAAAACGGTGAGAATTTGAGATGCTGAGCTGTGGATTCTGGGATGAGAACTATAATTACTTACTGATTCTTTCCTAGGATTGGCTCATGGGTGGATATCTGGTATCTAGAGATCCAGCGATCCAGAATCCACAGCAATAGCCTCGCCTGTTACACCGGAAACTAAAGGAATTATGTGATAGGGAGGGGATGTAGTCAGTAGTATATGGTCCTCCTATGCCTGTTCTCCTTGCCCGTGGCTCTCTAGACTATACTGTGATGCGGCCTAAGTGAAGGTTGGTGCAATGGCTTCTGCTAGCCTGAGACACTGCAGCCACTGTGCAGCTGCGATGGAAACCGTTCTAAATATAACCTAGGGCTCGCTTCAGATCCTCCGCCCCCAAGCTTAGTGATGTGGTATAAACACCCTAAAAATACCTGTTGTCTGAACCTTTGAGGTATCTGAAGAGGAAGGGGGCAGGTGTGAGGGTCTGGACCAGAAGAAATTGGAGGTATTTAGAGGCTTGTCTTCCCACCAGGACTGCTGCTCATTATGCAGCTTCCTGAAGCTGCTCAGTTAGCTGCCCGCCATGCTGTCCTGCTCAAGGAGTCATAGTCACTGTTGGCAGATTTCAAGCAAACTATTCATAGACTTGACATCTGTTGTCTGTCCCATTGACCTCAAACCTACAGCTGTCACCATGGTATTTGGACAGTTGGGTTAGTTTGATTCCACATAAATCGGAATTTTTAGAGTTGGTATAGGCTTTAGGCAATCTATTGTATATAAATTCATTAAAGCCACAACATTTATTATGAGCCTCCTTCCCTCCCTCCCACCTTTTTGTGGACTTGAAGTCCAGGGCCTTGCATTTTTGCTTAGCATTTTTGCTCAAAGCTAGTGCTCTACTACTCTACTACTTGGAGTAGTGGAGCTACACCTCCATGTCTAGCATTTTGCTGGTTAAATGAGGATAAGAATCTTATGGAGTTTTCTGCCTGGGATGGCTTTGAACTATGATCCTTAGATCTCAAGGCCTTCTGAATACTGCAGGCATCAGCCATTAGTGCCTGGCTTAAAGTCAGATTTTTATAGCTATTGTAGCCATCAGAATTTGAAAATGGAGTCTCTTTCATTGATTATTAATCATTCTTAATTTCACAGTATAAAAATAGGATAACAAAAACGCAACCTGTAAAATTATTAACATAAGTGATCTTGTGCAAAATTTTTCTTTTCCATTAAAAAAAAACGGAATTGTGAAGCTTATTTCCACACTAAAAACTTGAGTGTTTTTAATTTCATTGAAATTAGTTGACCACATAGCCGCAGCACCAGGAATCTTCCTGGAGAAGGCATTCAGTGTGTTCTCTGGAACTGCAAACCATCCATGGTATTGTAATATGAGGAGCACAAGTGAGCTCTGTTTTCCCAGGAGAGAAAGGCTTCAGGGAAGAATTCTAACACCAATAAGATATGCTCACAGTTGTTGTGAGCTCAAGCAGTCAGTGCCATTGGATAAAGTGGCAAAGGCCCCAAGTATAAAGTAACTACCTAAGCCCCGCCTCCATGGCTGTTCTGAGAGGGTTCTGTGCATGCAGAGCCTATGCTAGGAGCTGTGCAGATGAAGGCAAAGAAGCCTCACTATCTTCACAGTAAATGGATGAGATGGAGCCAGTTTGTGTGCTGAGAAAGTTTAAATATGTTGCATTATGGTGGTGGCAACATTGCATTAATTGTAAGGAGTATATATGCTCCACTGTGAGCTTCTCAAAGCTCTTTTATGTATCTGGAAGAGTGTTTGCTTGTTTATGTGTTTAAAAAAAACAGTTTTTCCTGAATAATGCAAACTATCAAATTGGTTAGTGTGTGTGTGTGTGTGTGTGTGTGTGTGTGTGTGTGTGTGTGTGTGTGCGCGCGCACGCGCGTGTGTGTTGCTGAATGCATATATGAAGTAGTCACTTCTCAAGTTCATATTTCCTGGGATCAGTATACTTAAGACATGAAATAGAACTGTGGGAGGGAGAGGTGATTTTGTAGGAAGGGTGTGGCTTTGGAGTTGGGAGTACCCTGAGTTGTGAAGAATCTAAGGAGGTATGTGTGGGCACTTAGAGAGTCCATGTCCAGAGGAGAGGAAGAAGCCAAGTGCTAGTGGTACATGCCAACCTGGGCAGGAAAGTCCTTGACTCTTTATCTCCAATTAGTGAGCAAAAGCTGGAAATGGAACTGTGGCTCCAGTGATAAGGCACAGCCTTGAGCAATAAGGCTAAGGGACAACACATATGCCCTGAGTTCAAGACCCATACTGGTACCAACCTCTGCCCCCACAAAAAAGTAAAAAGGAGAGGAAGGGAAAGGTTTCATCTGTAATGTGGTATGACACTGAGCATTCAGACTTCTCACCTCTCAAATGTTTCTCTAAAATTCCAGAATGAAGAGCTTCGAAACTTGTCCCTTTCTGGCCATGTTGGATTTGATAGTCTCCCTGACCAGCTGGTCAACAAGTCCACTTCTCAAGGATTCTGTTTCAACATCCTATGTGTAGGTAAGTGATCTATCTCTGGTTGTCTAGCCTTAGATCAGTGTCTAAGGTAAGTGTCAGATGTGCATATGCAGGGAAATATGGAAATGACATTGTTCCTCTTCAGTGAAGCAAGACAGTAATACTGGCTTTACATATGTGACGGTTTTGTAAAGCATGAGATGGGAGGGTTTTGGTATTATTCAAATTACTACTTTTATTTAGGTTGCCTGGTCAATCAACTGGCCAGTTTAATATTCGTTTTTGGCAAGGAGAAGAACTTGGACCTTACCTAGCCGACAGGAAGTTGAAAGAATCACTGAGATGCCTGTAGCAAGCACTGAAAAGCCTCTTAAGAATTCATTTGTAGGGTCTCTGATTATATAGAACAATAGAAATCTACTAAAACCTTTTCTGAAGGTATATGTCTCCAGTGAGTAAAATCAAAAAAGACTTTGACTACTTAAAAAAAACAACTTATGATATTTAAAACCTTTGTTCTTCTAGGCTGGTGGTGTGGCTTCAGTGGTAGAAGAGTTGCCTAGCAAGTGTGAAGCCTTGAGTTCAATCCTTAGTCCTAGAAGCAAACCCAAAATCAACATTTATGCTTATAGGGCACAAGACAATCTAAAGTTCTTTTTTATGTCTGAAATAAATTGGCCTCCTTACATCAGAACCTGTAGCTGGTAGACAGCAGAATCTGAAGGGATAGGGCTGATTTGATTTACCAGTGTCATATTTATGCCCTTTAAATGTACCACTGTAGTCTGAGCCTCTGACCTATAGGTTAACTTTCCTGTTACTCTGAAGAAATGTCCCTGGATTACAGAGATGGTTTAGGTCTGGGCAAAGTGGCTCAGATCTCTAATACTAGTTCCTCAAGAGGCTGAGATTGAGGATCATGGTTTGAAATCAGCCCAGGCAAACAAATCTGAGAAACTCTTACCTCTCATTAACCAACCAAAAGCCAAAAGTGGAGTTAGAGCTTAAGTGGTAGAGTGTCAGACTTGAATGAAAATCAAGAGCACAGGACCTTGAGTTCCAACCCCAGTATATGAGAGAGAGGGACAGGGAGGGAGGGAGAGAGAGAGAATACTAGAGTGAACTTAATTTGTTGCCATAGTCCTCTTTGCATATCCTTTGAGATATACCACAGCAATTCTCTATCTGGCCAAGTGGACCACCTTGCTTCTACACTCAACAAGATGTGTTAGATTTCCTTCCAAATAAGATAAAGTGAATTTAGACAGGGTGTTTCAATGTAAGAAGCACCATTGGCTTACTTTTTAGTAATAGCAGTTGGGGGAGCAGATGTTTTCCTTTTTTCACAAACTTAAGAAATTGAATGCATTGTAGCCTGTGTGCTAGGCTTAGGAAAGCCTGTGAAGTAGAAAGTCACAGTTGGCTGGCACACTGGATGGACCAGCCTGCTCTCTGGCACTATGTTTCCAGCACTGGATAAGAGAACGACTTCAGAGACACAGCCTGAGCAGCCAACTCTCCCCTTTTCTCACATGAAAGCCTTTTAAAATTCAGCAGGACATCTCTGGAGTAGGCAGCTCGTTCCACAGAGTGGCATAAATGAGTTTCCTTTGGTACATGCTCATTGCAGAGCTGGGCAGTTTTTCATTAGCATAGCAATTTGTTGGCTTTTTATTGAAAAGGATGCTGAATTGTAATCATAGGCCAATTACTGTTCTGGCTGGTCTTCTAAAGCTTCCTCAACTCTGTCTTCAAATTTGGCTTCCCAACCATATCTGGTTTTTATGTCTTGGCTACTGAACAGTAGTGGAATTGGGCTTGCTGGGTAGGCTGGGTCTAGCCAAAGCATGGTGTGCAGTGACTGAGTAGCTGGTCCTCATATTGAATAGCACAGTTCTGATGCTGATTGGAATTCCTCATCAGTCCATCTGTACTGCCCTTTGAGATTTCTAAAGCAGACACTACTATGATTCTTAGGTAATAATACCATAATTCTTAAATGCTTATTCTGCTTTCATTCTTAAATACATTTAAGATTAGTTTATTGATTAATTAATCTAATACATGCTGGCTTTTAAAAGTGTCAAGGTCTCCTCCTTTTACTTCCCAGTCCTGTTTCTATTTCTGAGAGAACACAGGATCCTTTTAGAAGCTTTTGACATCTTTGTCCAGAAAAGAATTCTGTCTGGTAGCTTATAACAATAGTAGTGTTTTATCTTCTGCTTGTGATGTCAGCATGGTCTTCAGGGTCATATCTCTTTCAGGAACTTTGGGGCAGGGAAGAGAAACAGTCCTTGCTTTTGTAGCTTTTAGAGGCCTGTGGTCTTTGGCTCCTGGGTCCTTCCCTCTGTCTTCAAAGCCAGTAATGTGGCATCTCTGACTGTTCTTATATTAGGAAAAATTTCACAGACAATTGCAAAACTCAAGTTTAAACTCAAGATTATATCTATCTCCAACATGCACTGACAAGGAAATACATTGAACTGTGGAGGCCAACTGGCTCCATGGGGACAGAGAGTGTTCTCAGGGTGCTGTCTCTGGCTCTTGATCCCACTTGCTTCTGTCAAGCCTCACCTTTGGGCTTTTGCCTATTAGCAGCAGTTTCCTAGCAGTTAACAGCTTATTGACCCTCAGGGAAGGAAAAAGACATTCCTCATACACCAAACTGAACGTCATAGGATTCCTGAGACTGACCAGGACTAGGTCACATGCCTAGCATTATTATTTGAGAGATGGGGTCAGGCCACTCCAAAATACTCAGGGCTCCCTGTAGAGAAAGATGTCACAATGAGACAAAAAGCTCTCTCATTCTTTTTTTAAAATTTGTTTTTTACACAGATGAGACCATTTTTTTTCTTGTGTGTTTCTTTTCTTTTCTTTTTCTTTTTCTTTTTCTTTTTTTTTTCTTCTAACTCCATACAAAGTCCTGAATATCTTGCTGTGCAAGTATCTTCAACCCTCTAGGTTTTCTGTAATTTTGGAGATTGCTGTGGTTTCCACATGCTGTAACTCCTGAGTTTACTTCTTGGGAGATTACTCACTGATGGGATTGAGAGATTGGGGCCTTAGAGTTGGCAGGAGGTTCCTAGATCACTTTCTTCAGGGGTCATGGTAATTCTCATAAGCTCCTGAGTCTGTTCTTTTGAGAAAATTATTATAAAAGAACAAGCCTGGGCCTGGTGCCAGTGGCTCATGCCTGTAATCCTAGCTACTCAGGAGGCTGACAGCTGAGGATTGCAGTTCAAAGTCAGCCCAGGGAAGAAAGTCAGTGAGACTCTTCTCTCCAACTAACCACCAGAAAACCAGAAGTGGAAGCTATGGCTCAAAGTGGTAGAGCAGTAACCTTGAGCAAAAAGAGCTCAGGGACAATGCCCAGGCTCTGAGTTTAACCCCCACAACTGACAAAAAAAAAGGGGGGGGGGCCTTGGATGAGGAGAACAAGCTTGGTTATTCCTAGCCTCTTTGACTCCCTGTCTGGCCATATGGTCTCTCACTCTCACATCATTTCTGCTATGTGAGCACTAAAGTTGAGCTGATCTCTAGCTGGTACCATGCCTTTGAGCCTCCCGAATTATGAACTTCTTTATACACATTTTTTTTGTTGTTGTTGTTGGTTGTGGGGCTTGAACTCTGGGCCTGGGCTCTGTCCCTGAGCTCTTCAGCTAAAGGCTACCGCTTTACCACTTGAGCCACAGTACCACTTCAGGTTTTCTTAGTTGTTTATTGGAGATAAGAGTCTCAGGACTTTTCCTACCCAGCTGGCTTTGAACCGTGATCCTCAGATCTCAGCCTCCTGAGTAGCTAGGATTACAGGCGTGAGCCACCAGCTTCTTTATACACTTCTTTATAAAGTTACCCAGCCTCAGGCCTTTCAGTAGAGAAAATGGATTAATACAGAGCTCTTTCTTTGGTTAAGAGCAGAATTAGTTCTTTGGAAGACGGGAATCTCAGCATTAAATACTAATTTGTCTTCAGAGGGTAGGACATATCATATTCCTTACCACAGGTATTTTATGGCAAAATATCTATATAAGAAACAAATTCTTACAGACAATGCAGAAAAGTATTCCAACAAATAAAAATATGTGGACCGTCTATTAGAGGAGTAGCATCACATTTAAACTGAATGTCTATGCTAATTTTTTCCCTAGCTCTCACCCTACTGTCTATTTATGTTTTTACACAGTGCACACATGTGTGATGTGGTAACATTCTTCTCTTTTTCATCTTGGTAATTCACACATGCATAAATTAAGATTAACCTCATTCATTTTGTTTTCATTTATTTTTCTATTAGTTTTATGTTATGAATATGACAGAGGAGTGAGTGATTTATGGGCACTGTTGGCTCACATCAGTAATGCTAGCCACTCAGGAAGCTGACTTTTGAAGATCACAGTTTAAAGTCAGGCTGGGCAGAAAAATCTGAAATTCTTATCTCCAATTAACCACTAACAAGCTGGAATTAGAGCTATGGCTTCAGTAGTAGAGCACAAGCCTTGAGGGAAAAAGCTAAGGGACAGTGTTCAAACTCTGAGTTCAAGCTCCAGTATCAGCCCCTCTCCCCCCACAAAAAGTTATAGTCACATTAAGGAAAATGTTTTTATCAAAAAGCTATGGAATCATAATTTTATTTTGTGGCAAAAGCTTGTAGTAAAAAGCAGAGGAAATAAACCAGGGCATAAATGGATCCTGGTGTGAATTTAGGCTACTTTCAGAGGTACTAAATTAAATGTCTGCTATTAGAAGCCCCATCAGTGGAGTCCTGGGAATAAATGTAATCAAGAGTGGGAGAATGGATTTTGCTTCTCCAAGAAGAGAATCCTGACAATAAATCGAAAAACAGAACATGGTGGGGTTAACAGCTCCCTTACTCTCCGCCTTATAGCACATTTAATCACCCCCCAAACTACACTTTAGTTTGAACACAGCCTTTTATGTTATCCATGCTGTATTTCTCTAAGGGATCAAAATTAGAGTAAAGGTAGTATTTAGCTTCTTTAGAGCTTTATTTTTTCTTTCATAATGCAAAACATATTTGG